CTGAGGTGTGTCAGTTGTTAAACCACATCATGAAGAAATTGTGTAAGTGAAGAATTTCTGGGTCAGTGAGTCAGAGCTCAGTGTTTCCACATCTGCAGAGTTTAAGAAGTGTTTGATTGGTGAAGTGTGTTGATGCTTACTAACAGGTTATTGTACCTGATTATTGACAATTTAATTAATGGGTTAAATCTGTGAAAAGCTATGCAGAATCTCATTAAATGACTCTGAGCTGATAATTTATGATCATAACATCTGGACAGGAACCTGTGTTATGTGTCTGCACTTATTTAACGATACAAATCAAGAAATGCTACAGAAAACATAGGTTTTAAGGTCCTGCACAGATCCACTTTGTAAACCTGAACCTAAAACACTCAACCCTCGGACCTGGTCTCCAGACACGAACCTATAGAATGTGAAGGTACACCGTGTTGAATGGTAGGATGGGGGTACCGTTTTAGGAGGGAGGTGTTGCATTTACCTGCATACATTCTTGTTTGGTTTGGCTAAAAATTTGCATAAGTCATTTAAATCTCACTTTACTAACTGTGGTAACTCAGAACCAATTTGTCTTGGGAGACCATACCAGGGGCTAATGCCCCAGCCAACACAGCTCCCAAGGATCACCGGGGCACACAAACCTCTCCACCATATGATATTCATGTAGTTTTTGAAATTTTCTGGCAAGTGTTCAAGTTCTAGGCCTATGAAAAAATGTGACGCTTATGGAAGGCTTTTTAAGGTGGCAGAACTATATCTGGGAGGATAAAAGGAACTGAGAAAAATGGCTGCTTTACAGTGTTTAAAAATTACTGAGCTTCAATTTGTACTACACTTTGTTGGTAGGTTCAGGTGCACTTGTTTTGATGTGCTTTTTACAAAATTACTGTAATTGTGTCACATAAGGCACACCTCAACCTCATTCTGACAATATGAAATTAATACAGATTTAAAAATTATCCAGAATTTTCATAAATTTACTACACTGATTACAATTTCTAAGATGTCAGTATATTTGAGAGTGTAAAATGACTTGTTTGTGACTCGAAACAGTGTTTAGGACTTGGACTTGACTTGGGAGTTAAAATCTAGACTCTGAACTTGACTCGAGACTTCATAGCCGTGACTTGAGACTTGATAACAATGACTTTGCTCCACCTCTGCTATCTGGACATAAACTAGTTGTAAACTATCTTTGATCGATCGTTATCAATGATATGATTATTTCACAAATCATTCAGAAAGAGTACTTTTACTTTTGATACCTCAAGTACATGTTCTGTACTTCTAATGAAAGTGAAGAATGTAGCTTTTTCAAATATATTTTGGTGTAGAAATCTGCTCCAAAACGTGTCCTAATGCAGAGAGGTGCCGTCGAGGCCTCCTGTGACTCACTGACAGCAGTAGAATTTCATAATGACAAATATCTGAACATCTGGGCAGAGCATGGTGGAGCATAGCAGACTGTAGTGGAGCAGGGAGAGGGAGCGCCGGGCAAAGCAGTGGACTGATTTAGAGTTTCATGCTGTGCTACCTTAAGTAGGATTTGAATGCAGTGTTCTTATACATGTGTACTGGTACTTTTACGTTAGTAAAGGATTTGAGTCCCTGCATGTAATAATGCATACAGTACTGCATGTATTGGGCTCAGTTTTTAGATTTATTGTTATTGACTGTGAGAGCAAACATCAGACTTCTGCTCTTATTTTAACTCGTGTGTACTGGTATTTTTACGTTAGTTATGGATCTGAGTCCCTGCATGTAATAATGCATACAGTACTGCATGTATTGGGCTCAGTTTTTAGATTTATTGTTATTGACTGTGAGAGCAAACATCAGACTTCTGCTCTTATTTTAACTCTTGTATATTCTGATGATTTCTACTGTTTGTCAGGACTTTCACACCTGAGGCTTCCTGATGAATGGATTCAATTAATCAATTCAAATCAATAACAATAAAATATAGTGTCGTCAGAAGTGTTGCTTTGTTTTTACTGTGACAAAACTCAGATAGTGGGTTACTGTTCACTGGCTAGAGACCTGATTATCAGAGTTGGTCCGCTGACAGCCGGAACATCGTACGCTGAACTTTATCTATTTTGTGTTCAAGAGGTTTTGCTCAGAGTCTCAAACTGACTGAAAACAGGGAGATACAAGGTTTTGACACCAACAGATCTGAGTTTTGTTTTGGAGAAAGTTCTGCAGTTAGGAAGTTTCGGTGTCTGGGGGAGGGAGTGTGGTGGTGCAACCTCAGAGACTCAGGAAACACATTTTCTACCAGAGAGCACACACACTAAAATACACACTGAAACACACACACACACACACACACAGGGATAACATGTGTGTGTGTGTTTCAGTGTGTGTGTGCATGGAGGGTCTTTTTTCCCACTTCCTTGTTGAACTTCTTCTTTGTTGGAGATTGTGGGAGTGGTGGAGGAACTGGTTACCACGATGACGTGTTTTCTTCCACCCCAGGACCTTCTCATAGTATTTATTGTAGTGCAGTATATACATATATGGTGTATGTGCATATGTAGTAGTATTTGCAGTAGCAGGGATACATGTAGCTGCAGAGAGTCCAAGTGAAGTTTGAATGAAGCAGATGCGGTTCCACGTTAATGTGCAGAGTAAATGTCCAGGTCTTTGTCTGTCAGAGACCGGGACAAGAATGGCTCTGGGATGAGCTCAATGACACAGTTTTCATTGATCAGACCCATAATGACTCTATAGATGTCTGATTTCCTTAGCCAATGCCATAATTGATCAAAGAAGAAATAACCAATCAAAGTTATAGATCTATTGTGCCTTCTTTAAAAGCTCTGCAGGAGCACAAAAAACCCACAGAGTTGACAAATTTAGATCTAGATATGGACCAAAATAGATTTTATTTTGGAGCTGAAGCTAAAAGTCACTGCAGCTGGGCAGAGGTGACCCAAGAGCGACAAGCTGTCCTGTCAACTTACACATATCTCACCAGCTGAGATGGGTTTCTGATGTAATTGATAACCAGTAGTAGGACTGGTGATAAGCGCTGGACTCCTGAGCGGACTGGGGCTTTCAGGTGAAACTGAATCAGCAGCTGATCCTGAGCAGGTTCAGTGCAGATATGAGTCCAGGTCTGTGTTTTCTCTGTGTTTATGTGTGGGGGTGTTTGGTCAGTTCAAAGGGGGTTAAGGTCAGAGGACAGTGTCGCCCATCATGGTCCAAACATCATTCAACTGTGGGTTATACCGAACTGAAAATTAAAGAAAAACCCGTTTAAAACCAGCCGATGCAAATAAAGGTCGAGCGTGTTTAAACACAAACAGACATGAGAGTGACGCACTGATTCAACGTGGGAGGCGTAAGGTGAAACGTCACCTGACGCCTTCGGTGAGAAACTGAACTCCACCTGCTGAAACCAACAGAGCAACGATAAAGGCATGGTGCTAACGGCAGCAGTAAGCCAGGTGCCTCACCTGTGTGCCCGGGATAAAGACGGTGGCCATTACACAGCATTGTGTTTGGCTTCAGGACAGAAACATTAAATCACGTTGAGAATACGTGGCGCATGCACTATGACATGTATTTGAGTACTTCTGATAAAACGTTCATTTTATCGCTGTGCAAACAATCAACCTGCGACATGAGCAACAATCTAATGTATGTGTAATGTATTAATCTATAAATAGGGAGAATTTAGCTGCTCACTGACAAATGACTAAATCTAGTGAAGGCCCAGTAACAGGAGCGTGTGTAAAAGGTCATGGACTGTAACCATCACTGTGGCTGTTTCCCTCTTTAATATCACAGCAAGAAAAATAGTTGTGGACACAAGTTTTACATTTAACCAAACCCCAACTTGTGGTTTGTGTTTTCAGTACTGTAACCTGTACATAGCAGCATTTCCAGAAATACTCAGAGTATCATTTATTTCACTTCCTCTCTGGCTTTCTTCCACCTAAGTCCCATTAGAACCAGTGGGACTCTTGCTGAGACCTGATTCAAACAGTGATGTTAGACTAGAACTCTCAGGCTGCCAAGGTATTAACATGTCATTACATGTTCAGAGAGTTTTATTATTGTGTATCAATAGTTTCATGTTGGCTTAATAACGTGTTTGTGATTTTCAGACTCTTCTGCTTCTACCAACTCATCAGCAGAAACTAAAGGTGTTTTAATCAACAGCAATGGCTGAGCCACACATTTACTGACTTTCAGTGATATTTGTGATTATTTAAACCAAAACCTCACATTTGTGCTCTTCTCCTGTTTTATATGTCATGACACACAAGAAGAGGTTTGTAAATGACAAATAATAGAGAGGTTACAGTTACAGCAATGAATAATTTACTTCAAACCGACTAAACTCTTACTTTTTGACCAATAAATGTCCAGAGACAACAAGTTTCCTCTCAGGTGAAGACTTGACCTCAGTGAAATAAACAAACATTAAACATTCATTTCTATGAGTGTCTCATCAATAATTCATCTCTAAACACTCTACAGACAGTTAATAACCTGTAATTATTGTTTTGGAAAGCTAATCAATATTTAGTAAATTATTAGCAGTTCAATTTTTGTTCATCAGGATTCAATGGGCCATAAAGGTTATTGATAGTTTTATAAAGTTTTAAAACTGTTATTAGTTATTGATAAATAATGCAGTCATGTATTTATCAGTTTACATTATCATTGATCATCTATTTTCAGTACTGATGTATGAACACTTATTTATTTTTAATGTTTAAAACCTGCATAAATCATTTTATTGTGCTCTGTTGTTTAATAGATTTATTGATTATTTGCTCCACATGAGTATCTAACAATTAACACTTAGTGAATCATTAATCCCAGTTTATAAAAGTGAAGTTCTGGTTTTGTTTACACTCCTCTTTGTGTTCACATGTTTTCCTCCACAGAGAGAGGAACGTGATAACACATGACAACTGCATAATAATGACTCATTCATTCCTGTTCAATAAAGGTTAATTAAAGTGTGTGAGTAGTTTTCTGACCTTGAGCAGCACAGCAGCAGCTGAGGGCGATCGACAGCAGCAGAAAATGGACCGACATCTCTCTCTCTCTGTTGTTGCTCAGACTGAGGTCGAACTGAATCTGACTCAAACTTCCTCTCAGACCCTGACACCACCCCCACCCCACCCCACCCCCAAGTCATTCTGTCAGAGAGAGCGAGGACCTGGTTTAGCAGGACGCGTCTGGCTGCATGTCTCCATTGTCCCTCTTCTGCTCCTCAACTGTCTGAAAACAAAAACACTGCATCAAGATTCTGCACAGGTGGACTTGAGTAAAGCTGGATCACAGACCAGGCCAAGTGAGTAGCTACCCTGGGGCCCCAGACCTCCGAGGGCCCCGGGTGTACTCCACAACATTTCTTTGCATAATTTGATTAATCATGAAATTTGCACCACTGATAATAATAATGATCAAAACAAACTTCGTCAGGTCCTTCACTTCACGGTCTGGGTCTTAAACAGGGACTCAAAACCCAAGTTACCAGATTCTACCATCAACAAACATGTTTACTGTCGGATAACTAACAAATATTCACATAAACTCAGAACCTACTCAAGAAATAAACTAAACCTTACTGTGTGTCCCACGAGAGAGGGAAAGGAGGCAACATTCAGGTGTGTTTAGTGTAAACACACCTGGACTCACCTGTCTGATTCATCCCACAGGATCCACAGCCAGTATTTATATGGACTGATCATTTTGCATTTATTACAGCTCCATCAGCTCATATCACAGGAAGCTGGGTTCACTCTGAAGTGCTCTGAATGCAGGTGCTTTTCCACAGCCAGAAAAATCCATGAACTTTCCCAGGACAAAGTTTCATTGTGATTTACTGGGTGATTAATCAGTTTGCTGATGTATCACAGCACGACAGCCAAGTTTTGTGTCATTTATACACTGGACAATGATCAACATGTCATACTTTCTCCGAAAATGCCCTCGTCAGAGCCTGGACTCTGTTGTGGGTCCGAGGTCTCTCAGGTTGCTATGTCCTAAGTAGACTCGAGTACAGATTAAACAACAGGTATTCAGGTGAGGGGTTTTTAACATGCTCCTTCATACGCTTCATTTGCGACCAGGTCGTGGGGGCAATAGCCCGAGCAGAGCCTCCCATTCTTCCCTCTCACCACACACCTCCTCTAGCTCCTCAGGAGGAACCCCAAGGTGTTCCCAGCCCAGCTGGGAGACATAGTCTCTCCAACGTGTCCTGGGTCTGCCCCGAGGCCTTCTCCCGGAGGGACATGCCTGGAATACCTCCCCAGGGAGGCATCCAGGGGGCATCCTAAACAGGTGCCCGAGCCACCTCAACTGGTTCCGCTCAATGTGGAGGAGCTAGTCTGAGCTCCTCACAGGTGACTGAGCTCCACACCCTATCCCTAAGGGTGCGCCCAGCCACTCTCCATAGTAAACTAATTTCTGCTGCTTGTATCTGCGATCTCATTCTTTCAGTCATGATCCAAAGTTCATGGCCATAGGTGAGGGCAGGAACGTAGATCGACTGGTAAATTGAGAGCTTCGTCTTACGAGTCAGCTCCTTCTTCACCGGAACGGACTGGTACAGAGACTGCATTACTGCGAACGCCGCACCGATCCATCTGTCAATCTGCTGCTCCATTTTTCCTTCACTCATGAACAAGATGCCGAGCTACTTAAACTCCTTCACTTGAGGGAGCAACTCGCCCCCAACCCAGAGAGAGCAAGCCACCTTTTTCTGATTGAGAACTGTGGCCTTGGATTTGGAGGTGCTAATTCTCATCCCTCCCGCTTCACACTCAGCTGCAAACCCCTCCAGTGCATGCTGTACATTTTGAACTGATGAAGCCAACAGAACCACATCATCCACAAAAAGCAGAGACGAGATTCTGCGGCCACCAAAACAGACACCTTCCGTTCCCTGGCTGCGCCTAGAAACTCTGTCCATAAAAATAATCGAGAATCGGTGACAAAGGGCAGCCTTGGCAGAGTCCAACATGCCCCAGAAACAGGTCTGACTTACTGCCGGCAATGCAAACCAAGCTCCTACTCCAGTCATACAGGAGTAGGAGTCATACAGAGGGCCCGTATCAATGAGCCCGGCAACCCATAATCCCGAAGTACATCCCACAGGATGCCACGAGGGACACGGTTGAATGCCTTCTCCAGATCCACAAAACACATGTAGACTGGTTGAGCAAATTCCCATGAACCCTCCAACACCTTAGTGAGGGTATAGAGCTGGTCCAGTGTTCCACGGTTTTTAACATGACGGGTGTATAAAAGCCGTTGACCAATCAGCGGTGTTCAATGCTGCGTCCCTGACACTCCCCAGAACTTTATCTAGTCCCTGGCTCCTCAGGTGGAAACACAGAAATGAGTTCTTCAAAAGGTTTCTACTCTCTGGGGGAAAACGCTGACAGGAACGTTCTGTTTTAAATATAAATCTATATTTATACCACTTTGGTTCAGTGAAAGCTGAAGGTTTCAGTGAAATCCTAATGAAGACGTGTTTTCTCTATTAAACCAGACCAGGATCTTTCTCTGATCTGAAACAGGACCTATGAGGGTCAAAACAGAACCAGAACCACTTTTAAGATACTGGAGTTCTCCTTACTCACTTTAACAGAAAACGTGATATTTTTGACATTTAGGGGAAAGCAAAAAACGAGGAAGAAGTTTCAGTTGAGTGAGTCACAGTTTGAACAGACTCTTCTTTCTGACATTCAGCACTTTTCTGAACTTCTCTCTGCTTTACATCATGACACGAAGTAAAAACAGACTAGAGTACACATGGCGGGGCCAGTTTGAGGGGGATCCAACAGTTTTCTCCACAGTGGCTGTTGCCACTGCTGTGCCTTTATGTCCAGTGTCTATCCAACTGAAGCACAAGTTCTTTTATATTGGTTTTTATGAGTGAAAACAATGATGGACTGAGACTCACCTGAAAGCAGGTAAATTATAGGTCTCACCTGCAGGATCATGCACACCTGGACCATCAGCTGAAATGCCTGGACCATGAACTGAAACATCTGGAACATCAACTGAAACGCCTGGACCATGAACTGAAGCACCTGGACCATCAGCTGAAACATCTGGAACATCACCCGAAACACTTGGGTCATCAGCAAATTTGACAGAAATGCTGAAACTTTGGTTTCTAAAAGTTTTTTTTATAAAATTTTATTTTAAATAAGTGGCTGAGCTCAGGTCAATTCACTCATTCACCCTATGCTCTGTTCTGCTTTTTGAATTATGGACACAGTTACACATAAAAACTAATGAAATAAAACCAGACAGTTGTTCAGTGACAAAAACAATCTGATGAAGAAAATAAAAAGTAAATAAATATACAAATAAAGAGATCAGTAGTTATGTAATGGAAAAGTTAAATTCACACACATGCTGTCTGCTCAGTATGCTCAATGTTCTTATTATCTTTTTATTTGTACTGTCTAACCTTGTTTCCTTTCCTCTGGACAGTCCCGTCTCTCAGACGCTGCACACAGATTTAGTCTCTACACACACACACACACACACACACACACACACACACACACACACACACACACACACACACACACATATTTTTGTTTCCACTTACCGGGTCCCTACATAGACTTACATTCATTTCCAGGAGACTTACCCTAACCATAACACACACACACACAGTCTATATTGATGCACATAGCCTGGTTTCCATAGACTGACTGCACAGTTGCCCATCTAGGAAATACCTATGAAGGCCACATACAGTACCTAGGACACATTTCTGATTGGTTCCAGTTAGCGGGGGATAGTTGACTGATGTTATAAAAAACCTGACTGTAATGTCTCTCTTTTGTCACTCACTGACTCTTTGCACTGACTGTGTGACCTCTTGATCAAGATACTGGTACTGTCTTATGCTATTGTCTGATTCAGTTAAATTACACAAAATCTGTCAATCTGCTGCTCCATTTTTCCTTCACTCATGAACAAGATGCCGAGCTACTTAAACTCCTTCACTTGAGGGAGCAACTCGCCCCCAACCCAGAGAGAGCAAGCCACCTTTTTCTGATTGAGAACTGTGGCCTTGGATTTGGAGGTGCTAATTCTCATCCCTCCCGCTTCACACTCAGCTGCAAACCCCTCCAGTGCATGCTGTACATTTTGAACTGATGAAGCCAACAGAACCACATCATCCACAAAAAGCAGAGACGAGATTCTGCGGCCACCAAAACAGACACCTTCCGTTCCCTGGCTGCGCCTAGAAACTCTGTCCATAAAAATAATCGAGAATCGGGGAC